TGCTGTCAGATCTGCGGGATCCTGAAATATGTGGCCATACCGCCCTTAGACTGGATACGGACATTGAATCCGAAATTCAAAATAATGTTATCTGAGGATAACAGCTTATTATTTTATACGAAACAAGATAATTTCTCCAGTCCATGGAATCAGGCTGTAATAGAAAAACTGAATATTATACGATGCCCAGAGAAGTCATTTTTGCATTAGGGGGCCCCCTAGCCCATAAGATTATCAAGCAGTTGATTATGAAGATGGATATCAACGGTACTATCGGCCGGGCTAGGTGTGCTTGCTCTACTCTCCAAATGGGAATTCCCACCACTCTTTGCAATCCCAAAATACTTGTTTAGCCTTACAGTTACAAGATACGAGCAAGCAATTATGCTCGCAAAATGAAATGCCCTACTATCTGTGATCTCTGAAGGCTGTATATTAGGTAGGCCGTAATATTAGGTATACCGTTTTCAGATATATATTGCAGTTCTGGCTTACAGATCATAAAAACTGAGAAGCATGTTTACTTTGATTGTCCATGATATAGGAAGGCTAGAGAGAAGTGGACCAAGCCACTTATGTGCCAGCGAAATGAGCCTCCCCTCAATCTTTTAGTTATTAACATTTTAACGGCTCCTAGGCCAACAAATGCCCCTTTTAAAGCTAAATTCCTCGTGGCAGCTTGTGGCAAGGCATCTTCTCTAATATGGTATAGCCTGTCCTCTCTGGCCTGAATTCTTCCTTCCTCCCCTTTATTTTTAGGTGGGATTGACTGACAGTACTCAAGACTTGTAGGTCAGAGGAGCAGAGAAAGAAAGAAACATCAAGATCCTGAAATGTAACCGTAGGATAAAGGGGCTCCTACTTATAACAAAGCAGGTACATAACAGCGTGATCCTAAGTAGATTAACCCCTTCTAGCAACATTGACTTTAATGGACTTAGAAAGATGAAAGTTTGCTTAGGATGGCACTGTAAATTATGAATTATCATGAGTCTGGAGGTCTATACTTAGTTTTAAAAGATCACTAATAAGTCTACATGCATAAAGTGTAAATATAGCCGCAAACCATTACACACATTTGCTACAAACGTGAAATGCAGGGAAGAAGAAAAGCAGGGAAGAAGAAAAAGCACCAGAATTAGGATCCTCGATATCATACACGTTACATTATTCATCCAGCAATAGCGTGTTTATTTCGGCACCATTCTCTCAAAAATATATTTAAACCAAAGAATAATATTGACTCTCTCCATAAACTTTCTTCTTATTTACATTCCGATATTCCATTATACACAAAGTAAAGACTTTTTATGACTACACGTTATCTTTACAGAGCCGTACATAATACATAACAGCTTGAAGCTATGGAACGTTTAAGCTGGAAAAGTACCACCAACTGAATAATCATAAAGCCAAAAAAAGGGGCCAGGTCATTAACGGTCCTGAATTGTTTCACTGAAACCAACCAAAAAGAAAAAAAAAACTTTTAAAAAAGGAGACTGGGAAAGAACAACGTGATTTAGCTACTGCTGGACCCTCCAAAACCGTTAAATAACGTAAAGCGCGTTCAATAACTTGTGCATTCCACCAAGTTCCAAAGCTTGCATTTCCCCCAAATATAAAAAGCAACACCGACGACCACACATTTTAAAAACCATTTCCCCTTGTGATTTCAGGGCATCGTCATCTTATACACTCGTCGATTAAGACATAAAAATATTTTCCCCCCAAACGTTTAAATTATCCCTACATTATCTTTACTTGCGCAGCTGGGGCATAGCGTGTCTATTCCACTGAGAGACAAATTCGCATACATTCACACAGAGTGTCAGGATATAAAGCTAAAGCGGCACTCGCTTCGGGACAGGGAGGCGCGTGGATGCAATAAGGAGTATAAAAGGAGAGTTAAATCCTCAACACCTGTTAAAACAACGAAAAAAGGAGCATATGATACAAAACGGCATTGCGTGCTCTCTCTCGCTTGGCCGGGCGAAGGACTCTTCAGCTTGCTGGGCTCTCCAGCCGACAGACCCCGCCTTCAATGGCCACTGATTGCCCTGCCACTGCTCCGGGTGGAAGTCTTGAAATGTGAGTCTGCAGGGGGACATTTGGGAGAAAGGATGAGAAAAGATTTCCCGTTAACATAGTGGTCCCTGTTCTGTAAATCACAGAGAGCAGCGTCCACAACTGCCATCCACCAAAAGAGCCACATTTTCTCCCGTTCCTGGAACGAGGCCTGCACCTCAGGAAGGATCATGGCTTGAGTGTTTCTCCGGTAGTGGCCATTTCAACATGGGAACCAATGGCAAGCCACAGTTCCTCCCGGGCAATAACATGGGTCAGGTGCCCTGTTGAGGAATGGTACTCTGAAGAGAAGCCATGGTGGATCAGGCCAATGGCCCATCCAGTCCAACACTCTGTGTCACACAGTAGTAGTAGTAGTAGTAGTAGTAGTAGTAGTAGTAGTAGTAGTAGTAGTAGTAGTAGTAGTAGTAGTAGTAGTAGTAGTAGTAGTAGTAGTAGTAGTAGTAGTAGTAGTAGTAGTAGTAGTAGTAGTAGTAGTAGTAGTAGTAGTAGTAGTAGTAGTAGTAGTAGTAGTAGTAGTAGTAGTAGTAGTAGTAGTAGTAGTAGTAGTAGTAGTAGTAGTAGTAGTAGTAGTAGTAGTAGTAGTAGTAGTAGTAGTAGTAGTAGTAGTAGTAGTAGTAGTAGTAGTAGTAGTAGTAGTAGTAGTAGTAGTAGTAGTAGTAGTAGTAGTAGTAGTAGTAGTAGTAGTAGTAGTAGTAGTAGTAGTAGTAGTAGTAGTAGTAGTAGTAGTAGTAGTAGTAGTAGTAGTAGTAGTAGTAGTAGTAGTAGTAGTAGTAGTAGTAGTAGTAGTAGTAGTAGTAGTAGTAGTAGTAGTAGTAGTAGTAGTAGTAGTAGTAGTAGTAGTAGTAGTAGTAGTAGTAGTAGTAGTAGTACCACTGTTGCCCCCCCAAGCACCAAGAATACAGAGCATCATTGCCCTAGACGGACTGTTCCATTGATAAGAACTAGGGCTGCCAAGTGGGGGCGGGGGGTGGGTAAACCACTGCTTCGGAGGCCCAATTCCCGCCGCCGCGGAATCGGGCCCCGGGGGGAACTCCGCCCCCCAAAGCGCAGAGTAGCTGCGTCACCAGAGGTGACGCAACCACGTCAATCACATTGGGGGTGTGGCCTCGATCGTCGGAGGGAAAACTCTATGGTTTTCCCTCCAACGATTGGGGCCACGCCTTCAACGTGATCAACGTTGCGCGTCACTTCTGGTGACATGCTGGCGGCGCGCGCACATTGACGAACGGCTACCGGAGCCCGGCGAGGCTCCCCCGCCGGTAAGAAAAATTGACTTGGCATCCCTAACAAGAACATAACAGAAGCCATGGTGGATCAGGCCAGTGGTCCTTCCAATCCAACACAGTGGCCAAAACCCAGATAGAAGAAGAGAAGAGAAGAGATTGGATTTATACCCCCCCTTCACTCGGAGTCTCAGAGCGGCTTACAAACTCCTTTCCCTCCCCCTCCCCACAACAGACACCCTGTGAGGTAGGCGGGGCCGAGAGAGCTCTTGACAGAAACTATGACTTGCCCAAGGTCATCCAGAACCTGCGAGTGGAGGAGTGGGGAATCAAACCCGGTTCTCCCAGATTAGAGTCCGCGCACTTAACCACGACACCAAACACCAGGAGGTCCACCACCGGGGCCAGAACTCCAGAAGCCCTCCAACTGCCGCCCCCCATGTACCAAGAATACAAAGCATCTCTGCCCCAGACAGAGTGTTCCATCTAGACCTCGTGGCTAACAGCCACTGATGGACCTCTGCTCCACAATGAAGACCCACAGGTGGCATGTCAAAAAGCCACGTGTGGCTCCTGAGCATTAACATATGAAGATGCCTTATTCTGAGTCAAACGATTGGTCTACCGGGTTCAGTGGTGTCTACTCAGAAGGGCAGCAGCTCCCCAGGACCCCAGGAAGAGGCCACCTACTGGTAGTGGTGGAAAGTGCCATCAAGGTGCAGCTGACTCAGGGTGACCTCATAGGGTTCTCAAGGCAAGAGACCAAGGAAGGTGGCTCTGCCATTGCCCGCCTCTCGGCAGCAACCCTGGCCTTCCTTGGCGATCTCCTGCCCAAGGACTCAGTGGGGCCAACCCCGCTTAGTTTCTGAGATTCGACAAGGTCAGGCTACCCGGGGCCATCCAGGTTTACAGCAGTCACCTACTACCTGATCCTTTACGCTGGAGATGCTGGTGACGGAAGTGGAGACCTTCTGCAATGCCAAGCAGATACTCTGTCACTCGACCGTGGACCCTCCCTAGGCAGAGGCTCAGATGTCTTCTAAGAGGGACTTAGCTGAAAATGCTTCCACCGTACCAGTGAACTGTTGTGTCCCCCCACTACTTTGGCGGGAGCACTAAACATCCAGACTTAACAGATTGGGGGAACCTGGTCATTCTGCCTGCTGTTTTCTAACACGCAATGCTTTGTGATATTGTAGTCAGAGCTAATAGTAGAAGGAGGAGGAGATTGGATTTATACCCCGCTCTTCTCTCGGAGTCTCAGAGCAGCTTACAATCTCTTTTCCCTTCGGCACCGTAGGTGGGGCTGAGAGAGCTCTTTTGAGGACTGCTCATGAGAGAACAGCTCTGAAATGAAATGTAACTGACCCAAGGTCACACCAGCAGCTGCATGTGGAGAAGTGGGGAATCAAATCTGGTTCTCCCAGATTACGGTCTGCACTCCTAACCATTGCACCAAACGGACTCTCCACACCAAACATGGGTTTTGCTTGTGGAACTTTTCCACAAACCAACACGACTACCTGCAATCTATAACTGGGAGGAAAAAACCCACATAACAGGACCAAGATAATTTTACATATTATTAACAGGGCTGTATCAAACGATCTATGGGAGCTCATTTATTGCTTTACAAATGCTGCGATCATTTAACATTTAATTACAGAATCCTTACAAACATTTAATTACAGAATCCTTACAAACCTTATCTTAACACCAGCCGTTACGATACCTCGTGGTGCATATTTTCAGCTTATTAACATAGTTCGTACCCACTACTTAAATTAATGTGGCTATTTTACTTTCCCACAGTCTGTCACTGTAATGCAGTGTTGCTGAACTTTTTTCCCTGATGTCTTTCCGTGCTAACTTACAAGTGCGAAATAATTCTATCCCTCCTCTCCCAAGCCCCAGCTAGGATACTACTTGCTGTAAATAAGCAAATGTGCATATTCTTAAGTATGTGAGGCGGGTGGTCACAGGAAGAGAATTCCTACTTTATACATCCAGGGGAAAGCTGCTGCTTCAAAGGCTCTGTTCCTATGGACACCGGGGCTCAGGTAAATAATAAAGACAGCTTTGTAAGACAGCTTCTTGTGGGTCTTAAGAGCTACAAACACGTATCAAGTGACAACGGACACCTGTTGAAATTGAATGGGGAGAACGCGAGCTCTGCATTCATCATCCCATCTGGCAGTGTGGGATTAACTGGCTGCTTTGGGAGCGGGTAGAAATACTTCCACTTGTTGACCCATATTGGCAAGAGATTGATGGGTTTCTTCTGCCTACTGTGAAGTTTAAGAGAGGCTAGATTCATGAGATTTTGCACTGTATAACTAGGTAAGAACATAAGAAGAGCCCTGCTGGATCAGACCAGTGGTCCATCTAGTCCAGCATCCTGTCTCACACAGTGGCCAATCAGTTCCCCTGGAGGTCCAACGAGAGGGCATAGAGACCAAGGCCTTCCCCTGAGAAGAACATCAGAAGAGCCCTGCTGGGTCAGACCAGTGGTCCATCTAGTCCAGCATCCTGTCTCACACAGTGGCCAATCAGTTCCCCTGGAGGTCCAACGAGAGGGCATAGAGACCAAGGCCTTCCCCTGAGAAGAACATCAGAAGAGCCCTGCTGGGTCAGACCAGTGGTCCATCTAGTCCAGCATCCTGTCTCACACAGTGGCCAATCAGTTCCCCTGGAGGTCCAACGAGAGGGCATAGAGACCAAGGCCTTCCCCTGAGAAGAACATCAGAAGAGCCCTGCTGGGTCAGACCAGTGGTCCATCTAGTCCAGCATCCTGTCTCACACAGTGGCCAATCAGTTCCCCTGGAGGTCCAACGAGAGGGCATAGAGACCAAGGCCTTCCCCTGAGAAGAACATATGAGGAACCCTGCTGGATCATACCAATAGTCCACCTAGTCCAGCATCCTGTCTCAGACAGTGGCCAACCAGTTCCTCTGGAGGTCCAACAAGAGGACATAGAGGCCGAGGTCTTCCCCTGATGAGGGCTGTGGCTCAGTGGCAGAGCATCTCCTTGGCATGCAGAAGGTCTCAGGTTCAATCCCTGGTATATCCAGTTAAAAGATCTGGCTGTAGGTGATGTGAAAGACCTCCGCCTGAGACCCTGGAGAGGTGCTGCCAGTCTGAGTAGACAATACTGACTTTGATGGACCAAGGGCCTGGTTCAGGATAAGGTGCTCTCATGTCTTCATATTTCCTCCTGGCTCTGGGATTCAGAGGCTTAGTGCCTCTGAATGTGGATGTTCCCCTCATTATAGATAGACTTATCCTTCCTGAATCTATCTAATCCCCTTTTTCAAGCTGTTTATTCCTGTGGCCATCACTACCTCCTCTGGCAGGTCCAGGGTTAGGGATCCAGGGTTAGGGATCCCACTACCGACCTTTGATGGGGTGACACTGGTGCCAGCGCTGGAGGTTAGGAGTCTGGGAGCGCTCTTGGATGCCTCCTTAACCATGGAGGCCCAGGTAGCAGCCACTGTCAACTCAGCATTTTACCATCTTCGGCTGATTAGGCAGTTGGTTCCCTTCCTTGAACGCAATGACTTGGCAACAGTGATCCATGCAATGGTCACCTCGAAACTAGACTACTGTAATAAATGAATGTCTTGAAGTCAAAGGTCTACAAGGCATTTCCCAAGTGAGATCACTTTGTCTCACCCACCTCCACCCCACTTTTTAATAACTGGACTATTGTTATCATTAAACCACCGCCCCCTTTCCCCCCAACAAGTGGTTTCAATGTTTCTAAAGCCTAAAATATAATGCCGT